CGAGTTATATTTTGTCTTTGCTTCAGTAGATCTTTTTTCAGCCACCGGTACCCTGCTCCGCCTCATTATTTTTATTTACAATTGTTCCTATTTACAGTATTACTATATACAAAATTCTACTCTAAGGTTAAAATCTCTTTTGACAAAATCAATAAAAAGAGATTTACAATTTAATAAAAACAACGTTTCCTAAGCTTTTTGAAAATTCTATATGTTCTTGATCCCCACAGTACCGGATCTTTATGACTGGTTAGAAAATTTAATTTTGCGATTGGTTACTTCAACCTGTCTTAGTACTCTTTAGTACCGCCACCCCCCTTCTTTATACTGTTCCAAGACTTCCTCTCTACTGTCCCAAGACTATTCAGTGCTGTCCCAGTACTTCCTGTTAGTGTCCCAAGACCACTGTCCCAAGACCCTTGACCTAAGACGATTGTCCCAAGACTAGTGTCCCAAGACCACTGTCCCAAGACTACTGTCCCAAGACTACTGTCCCAAGACCAGTGTCCCAAAACCACTGTCCCAAGACCACTGTCCCAAGACCACTGTCCCAAGACTACTGTCGCAAGACTACTGTCCCAAGACTACTGTCCCAAGACCAGTGTCCCAAGACCACTGTCCCAAGACCACTGTCCCAAGACTAGTGTCCCAAGACCACTGTCCCTAGAACACTGTCCCAAGACCACTGTCCCAAGACCACTGTCCCAAAACTACTGTCCCAAGACAACTGTCCCAAGACCGGTGTCCCAAGACCACTGTCCCAAGACCACTGTCCCAAGACCACTATCCCAAGACCACTGTCCCAAGACTACTGTCCCAAGACTACTGTCCCAAGACCAGTGTCCCAAGACTGTGTCATACCAAGACTGCTCTGGTTCAAGACTGTCCCAAGACTGCACCGTCCCCAGACTGTCCCAAGACTGCACTGTCCCAAGACTGTCCCAAGACTGTACTGCTCCAAGACCGTCCCCAGACTGCAATGTCCCAAGACTTCTTCGGTACTGTCCCAAGAGGTGTCACTAAGTGTCTGGATAGTAGGATCTCTTCTTCTTCGTTGTGGGGACTCTTTAACCGCTGTACCGTGTACCACCACTTGAGCTCTAGTAAAAATTTTCCCAAAATCCCTATCTTAAGGGCCAAAATCCAAATCCTGACCTCACCCTGTATTTATCTCCCTCTCGTTGTTTCAGGCTATTTGAAACCCCATTTTCTTCGCAGGTATCTTGTGATCACCTGTTCGTTCAAATACCAACAACAAATTTTCACCAAAACGTAAAAATTTAAACAGGAAAAATTACAAAAAACAGAGAGATGAACCCACCTAAAATTCAAAGCTGACAGATGTCAACCTTTGTCCGAAAAAATTTCTGGTACCCGATTGCCACGCGTTTTCCTCCCCCCTGCTAGCAATCTTATGGAGTATCACAAAAACTGTCTATGTCCGTTCCCCCCCTTCCGATCCGAACAGGGTACCTACCTTAACTCGATGTTAAATTTGGATATCCGCTTCTTATAACCAATGCGTGTAAGTATCTAATGTAACTAAATCGACGATGCCGAACGATTAGTTACTCTAATGTGTCCCCCCTTTTTACAATTTACAACCACCAACCTCTAACCTAACCAGACCCTCTTCTAACCTCCCCCCTCTTTAGCCCCCCTCTTAAGCCGAAAAATCCCTTAAGCGCCGGGTGCTAAACTTCTCGAGAGAAAACCGTAGACCTGTTTCCAGGCGTGCTTGTGTAAAAACTTCCTCAAAACAATGGGGCTCCGCTTATCCAATTTTACACTTATTTCCTATAATGTAATGTGGATTTTAACGATACCCGTTTGCCAAACTTGAAAACACCCCTGTGCGTCCTCTTCTTGTTGTAGCGATCCCGTGCTGGTTGTCCCCTTGACGTGCACTGCACTTGACACCAGCACCACCTTCCCACTTGGCTGGTCACCTCTTCCAGTCAAGTTTCCTAGCGCTTCAGCTCAGTCCTTGTGAACCACTTTCCCACTCGGCTGGTCACCTCTTCCAGTCAAGTCTCCTAGTGGTCCGGTTCTGTCCTTGTAAACCTTTTTCCCACTCGGCTGGTCAACTCTTCCAGTCAAGTCTCCTAGAGGTCCGGCTAGGTTGCAAGCTATCTGAAAACCCTTAACAACGCCCCCCACTGGGGCACCTTATTGAAGTCACTGGTTTAGATTGCTAGATTGATCGAAACGATCGGTCTTATAAAACAGTATGGGTATACTGTTTAATTAATATAAAGGTTTGATCCAACTAATCTGGTATCCAAGTCACTGTCTTTTTTTTTTATGGTTTTTGTTCCTTTTTCTATACTTTTTTCTTGTTTTTGTTCCGCTTTTCGTTTTTGTTCGTCTTTTTGCTCGTTTTTTTGGCCCCCCAGTTACCCCCCTTACTCGGTTAGCTAGGCCTCGTTCGGAGAGCGTACCAGGAAGTTTTCTCAAGTTTTCTTAAAAAGCTATCACGGTACAACCGGAAGGTTTACACGTTCCCGCTGAACCGTACCACCGGTACTCTAGAATGGGCATGCAGCCCGGAGCTGTGTCAAGTGGGTTCAACTCCGTAGTCATGATGTCGTAAAAACGTCCAGGAGCGCCATAAAAACACTATGTAACAGTCTCCTACTTCGGTCACATATGAGGCTTAAGAAAAATAGGCCCTATAACCATTGGCTCAAGAGTCAGGGACACTATCTCTTGTGTTTTTCTACCTCAAAAACGGTCGGAGCCAATTCGGTTCGCTTGCGACATGAGACTAGAACCCGTTACAGCTTAAAGGCTACTACCAAAATATCCCCCCACTCTAGAAAATAAGAACGTTCCCATACTTAGGTCTCGAGATACCCAAAAAACACGAACGCCGTTAAAAACAGGGTCGGAACAATCCGTTAAGTTACTTTTCATTAGACAGTGGAACTTTGATCCATTTCAGATGGATCAACCTAAACCTCGCCTTATCTCAACATAACAATCATAAAACACACTCGAGAAAACTAAATTTGGTACTTACATAGCAGCACGCTTGGGACACAGAGTAATTAAACTAATTAACGACTCTGGCATAAATATAATCAAATTTAACTCAAGAAGTTTTCTATGTGACATTCGACCAGAATGTGAAAAATGCAATCTCTGCAGAATTCGCATTTTTAGCAGCGAGCCTTCCGGATTGGTGATTATTAAGAACTAAGAACGTTATTGGAACGATTGGCCAAACGGTGAGGGCTGGAAAATTCTGGTATTTTAAAATTTTGAAAATTCGAATTATGACGTCATATTTCTGAGAAATGTCAGAAACGGCCATTTTGGCTAAAACAAGAAAGAAAAACAGAACAACATTAGCTGCGCTAACAACAACTACGAAATCGAGATTGGAAAACAACAACGAGTTACAGAGTAACAGAGAACACTCCGAGTTGCAACTATTGTGCCGCTACAATAGTTGCAAGGCCGTTGCGAACAACGGTGAAGGGTGAAAGACGGTCTTCCGGATTAAGAAGAAATCAGTATTAACAAGCTTGATCCAGCAGATTTGTCAATCCGGAGGGGTAAAGGAACTGAAACTTTTGTCCTGTTACATAAACTTTTAGCTTCCTGTCATGTCCTGACTTGAATTTAATTAACATCTAGATTCATTTTGATAAGGATGAGAAGCTAGGAACTGGGGGAAAGGGTTGATCCATCTTCGATGGAGATGATGATTTTTATCTACTGAACAAAAACAATAGTAATATAATAAGTAGTAGCCCTGTTTTTAGGAGTGACCTCGTGGTCTGGGGATACTGAGACCCAGCCATGAGCTCACTATTTCTGCATTTAATCTAGTTAATTTGAGTGTTTTGACCGAAGCCGAAAGCAGTAACGTTTTTGTCGACCCGATGTTAGAAAGACCACCGAAAAGTACTGGCTTGGTAGAGACGGTGAAAAGCATGCAAAGCTCTGTTTAGACGTTAGCCAGTCGTCTTAAGACTTAGTTTTGTCTTCCGTTGATATGTATCTTCCGGGCGAATGTTACACTAACGATGAGTTCCAATCAAAGGAAACAAGTTTTAACTCAAGAATATAGTTTTGGATCTGGACCATTGGGAGACTTCACTTGTCCGCCTTTCCGTTGAAGGTTCACAATGGTCCAGTTGATTTTAGCTCTGCTCTCGTATTTGTTCGGTCTCCTATATCAGATAGGACAGCTCTACTCTAGTTTTCTACGATGGAAATTGCGAATAGCAATTTCCCACTGTATATGTTTGACAACTCTCCCGCAATTGTTAATTCGGTCGTTCTGATTTCTTATTTGATGTTTTCAGTTGTCGCGAGAAAACTGAGCATAACAGGCTCCATTCGAATTTTTGAAAAATAAAACTTCACTCCAAAATCACGTATATTCGTGTCGCTCAAGGTCAAACTTCTAGATATGACCGACTGGCACATGCACTCAAACTATTTCATACGAATTTTTAGCTTCCTAGTCATGCCCGGAATTGAATTTAATAAACATCTATATTTATTTTCTAATAATGAGAAGCTAGGAGTTGAGGGAAAGGGTTGATCCATCTTCGATGGAGATGATGATTTTTATCTACTGAACAAAAACAATAGTAATATAATAAATAGTAGTAGCCCTGTTTTTAGGAGTGAACTCGTGGTCTGGGGATACTGAGACCCAGCCATGAGCTCCCTATTTGTGCATGTAATTAAGTTAATTTGAGCGTTCTTGTCGAAGCCGGAAAACAGTAACGTTCTTGTCGACCCGATGTTGAAAAGACCACCAAAAGAACTGGCTTTGGTAGAGACGGTGAAAAGCATGTAGAGCTTTGTTTAGACGCTGGCCAGTCGTTTAATAACTTAGCTTTATTTTCCGTCGATATGTACTTCCGGGCGAATGTTACATTGTTAAAGCTAGAAAAGCAAAAGATCGCAAGATGAAGTCGATTTTATTCAAATTAATTTAACTGCCATGTTCAATTTCCATATTCAGTTTTTAGATATTCATGGCAGAATTGCATATAATTGGAGAAATTGTCGGTGGCGATGGTTTTCCTGAAAATAGTTTATTCTGTAAATGGAGTGTTCACGCAGGTTGGTTTTAGAGATATTTCATGTCGATGAATTGGAGTGTCTCATAGTTATTGGTCTTGTTATTGTTCAGGAGGTGCCTGGAAGTTGCTTGCTGGGAACAGAGAAGGGCAGACACAGGCAGATTCCCCGATGGACGAAGAATTTGCTTGCTGGAATCATCCATTGGATCTACATTTTGTAACGAAAGGAATACAAGGTAATTTTGAGAGTCTGCAAGCTAATTAGGTGGAATTTGTATTCAAAATGGAATATCTTGAAATAGTAAACCAATAGTAATAATCATTATGGCCTTATACTGAAGTGTAGAGAAACCTCGGTTGTCTATTGTTTCCGTAACCCCAAAAACACAGGCAAATTGAAAAGTTCGAACTCAAGAAAGCTGAAATGATTTGATTTTTTGAACGTATTTCGAATGTCGAAGACAAAATCACTTTCAAATCTTTTAAGTTTCAATTTTTTCAAGTGGCACGCTTTTCTTTAAGGTATCCATCAAGTTTAGTGGAAACGGGAACCATGTGTGTTTTTTTATCCAGCCGGGAATTCAGAAATTTAAATTCCAATTGTGAAGCATGGCTCTATGATGAACAGGAGTCGAGCGGCGTTATGTCTGGCTGCGATGTAACTGAAAACCGAGTTTTGTGTAAGGCGTGAAGTATGAAAGACTTGAAATCTCCCAAGCAGGCGCATCACTTTGGATCTTTCACTTATGCAATAAGCTTTAATTAAGCATCACTTCGTTTTTTTTTTGTGGACTTCATAACCAAAAAAATTAAAGTCGTAATGTACTTTAACAAGCAAGCGTTGAGCAACAATTTTCAATAAATTTAATACGAAGAAGGTTGGAATATGGATAATTTCAGATGAAAATTTGCTAGTGACTACATGGTAAACAATTGCATTAGTGTGGGTTATTTTTAAATGAGATTTGATTAACCTTAAATAAAGCTCTCAAAGGGTCATGTGTGGTCTCATGTTACAGCCCTTTCAATCGTGGATCAAATTCAAAAAACCATTTCTCAAGGGTTTACAATACCAGTCAAAAGTCTTAGATCAGTGATGTCCAGTTAAAAAAGTTAAACCAATATTAACCATTAACCAATTAAAATTTTTAATCAAATCGGTTTAACCAATTTTTCTCTTAAACAGTGATAAAACAAATCATAAATACCCTCAAACTTATAGTATGGTAGGAGAAAGAGCTTAGGCTACAAGTGTTAATGAATTAAAGTTTCAATTAATTTCTCGCTAGCGTTTGCGAAGCGCAGCTTTGCCTTTGTGTAAAAATGAAGCAAGCTCCCTTATCGAACAGCAAAAGTGTGAAGATCACAAAAAACGTGATCGATTTCTAGTTTTAAAGTGGATTTCCAGCTGAATAAATGAATATTGATCCAGTTTTCTCAAATTGGGTTAATTTTCTCAAAATATTGTCAATCATTACTTGCTCTTAAATTTCGAAGAGCTTAAAAGCCATATATTTTGTCTGTTTGAAATTAGAAAGTTATCAAAAAACAGTTTTCCAAGTGTCTGATACGTATATTTAACTAATTTTGCGTTCGAGTTTTCAAATTGACCTTAGCTGATTGAAAACGTACAAAAACTTTTTTTTGATGAGCTTAATAATTTTTTTTTGTGAATTTCAAACAATTGTTTAATTTGTAAGCTTTGGTTCTGCTTTAATGGCAGGTCAAGGTTTGTTTCAAGCAAATTGAATTTGAGCAAAACTTTTTTGCAGTCTAGTGGAATTTAGTAGAACTGAAGTTCAGATTTTCTATAAAAAGAGTAAATTTGGTACGTTTGACAACGTATTCGTTCAAAAAAACAGCAGAAAACTTATAACATAATAGTTTCCTAGAAGGCGCTGAAAGAAATATCGAAGTGAAAGATGTAGTTTTTATTGTTAAAGCTACTAACCAATGTCTTAATATATTATTAGTATGTCTTAATCTAAACTTCAAACTTTTTTGGCGCAATAATCAAGAAAAGGAAAAAACTAGAAGACCCACGAAGAGAAACTTCCTCGTCATTTTCAGTTGTCGGAAAAAACAACTTCGTGGAAGAGATTCGTACAATGATTTAATTCGAAATCAGAAGTAAAACCAGCAAAAAATTACACGAAACCACTGAAAAAAAAACATTGTAATGTTAGAAATTAAGTTTTGCATAGGCTCAAGTTTTAGGCACTCTTAGTACAGAACATGTTTATCATGTACTGTTTCTTCTTTCTGAAGACAATTTAAAAAAATGGTTTCACTTTTTTCATTTAAATTAGCTACTAGTTTTTTTCTTCGTTTCTAAGAACAAAGAGTTTTGACTAACTGAGTTACTAGTTTTTGTTGATTTTCATTTCAGGAAAATGTGATTTTTTTTTCGCTGGCATACATAATTTGGTCAAAAAGTTTTGTCAACTGGAAAACTTTAGTGACAGGCGTATTTTCACCATGTCTGCATTTTATATATTTATTCTCTTCGAAGATTTTTCCTTATGTTAGTAGCTAATTTCAAGCTCAAATTTTGTTTAAAGTATTTCGGAAAGTTTATTTTGGCTTAAGTTGTGCGTGTGTGTTTAGGTCACTTGAAAAAGTTGCACTCAATTTTTCGATGAAAAAAATTGTTTACGGCCCAATAGGTGTGTACCGAATTTTTGTAGGCTTAGAGAACGCCTGGTAAGTTTGAACTGCAAATAGTCCTTTATGCGTTTTATATTGGACCTCATTAGAGGCATTCTTATTACGTTAGAGAATAGCCAGCTTCATCAAACCGGAAGAAAGACTTTTGGGTTAACACCTAGTTTAACAGAATCACTTGAATTATTTTACCTTTGGTTCATATGATATGAAATCAAGTCAGACAATATTTCATATTTCGCGCATATGGCAAAGAGATAACGCTCCTGCCTATAGAGACAAGGTAAATTCGATTCCGACCAGGACCTGTTATTTTTTGTCAGCGGAAAATTGTCGTTGCGTCAAAAAAAATGTTGTCGTTCTTCTGTTGGTCTTCTTTTTTTGTCGGCTTATTTGCCGCAGCAACAAATTTTTGTCGGCTTATTTGCGGCAGCACCATTTGTGGGCCCTTTCTACTCAAATTACAAATGATTTCATTATATTCCGGTTTTGGGCAAGTGATTGAGCTCCAAAAAGTTTTGCCTTTTTTATGCTAATTTTTGATTTTTTTTTCATGGTGTTCATTTGAAAATGTTTGTTTTCATGAACTCAAAGAGTTTTCTGTGCATTTAGTGCAGTGGTATCATCCATGCTTGAGACGACAAATCTCAGACTTTTGATTCCACTCGGGCCTGTTTTTTGTGGAAAATGAAAGTTCTCAAGTATTCTAGGTTTTCGTGTCTGCTAATTTTTGTCGGCTTAGGTTCCGCACGAAGGTTCGGTTTGTTTTTAGAATTTTGAGAACTCTTTGTAAAGTTCTAATGGTGCAGGTTTTTTCGGTGTTATTTTTGAGATCGATAAGAATGTGACAATAAATTTTCGAATTTCTGAATACTCAACGTCAAACTCACGAGGACCATCTTCAGGCTGATTGTATTTCATAATTGTTGAATCGCAAGTGGCGCAAAGCTCAGCTGTGTTATAAAAGCGACACTCTTAAAAGATTTGAAATTGAAATATCTTTAAGGTGATATTTTTTAATTCTTAGAACTATGAAGTTGAAACCTTCTCCGAAAAAAATAATCATTTTGTTTCGTTTTTCTTGACATTATCTATCTATACTCTATTTAAATGCGTGTGACATGCTTATGCTTAAGCTTTTTCAATTTTGCACGTTTAATTATATATAAATGCGTAAGATTATTTTCGGTTTTCTTATTTATGATTGCTAGCCCTAATGAAAAGCCCAATTGCAAGGCTGTAGCAGGGATGGGGAGGAGGACTCTGCAGTATAGTGTAATGGAAAGGTTGGATTTATCAATCTATAAACGATGCAACGGGCGCTTTGTTTCAGCGTTTTTTGCAGCATGTTTGAAATAAGTTACCCTAAGGTGGGTGTGGTGCTGTCAGAGTTGTTCCAGGGGTTGTGAATTTGGTGTACAAATTTGCGTACTTAAACTTTTTCAGTTTCCGAGATGTCGTTTTTTGTGACCTTTTTTTTCGATAAAACCTAGATTTCTGAAGCTTTACAAAGTTTGAAAGTCCTCAACCTATAATGGGCTGCTGTAAGGGTCTTCTCAGGGGTTGTAAACTTTCCTCCAAAATGGCTGCTCAAATCCTATTATTTTCCAAGATATGACGTTTTTGGTTCAACAAGTTGCAGAAAATGCCTGTTTAACATCCCATAGATGTAGATGGGAGCGGTCAGGGTTTTTTCAGAGTTTGCAAATCTGGCCTTCAAAAATGACTGCTCAATTTCTCATACATTCTGAGATTTGTCGTGTTTTTTAATGGTATTTTATTTCCCGAGTTTTTGCGTTTTAATGATTTTTCAAAACTAAAGTTTTAATTATTTCAAACATTAAGAAAAGTTTTTCAAAACTTGAAGTTGTTGACCTTTTGGTGGTGCGATGTCAGGGTACTCCCTACTGTTGCAAATTTGGCCTATATACAATAATTGCTTAAACCTTTTTAGTTTTCTTGGTGTGACGTTATAGGAATAATTTATAAATGCTCAGATTTTATTTTTCTTTCTCTATGAAAATTTTTTTGGAGGTGTAAAGTGAAGTAACTTACTTACAGAGGCGGCAGATTTAGACTCTAAGTTTCATCAGCCAGATACTTTCAGTGTTCTCAGATCTAATCATTCATGCAGCTATCTAACAACCCATCCCCCCTCTTAGCTATCCTGCCAACTAACAATCCATTCATCAATGCATAATCCCATCGATCAAGCCTTATATTCATCAAGCGATCTATCCAATCACCCGTCAGGCCAGTCATTCTCTTCTCTTATCGGGCCATCCACCAAGTCGTCCATCCATCAGGTCATTCATCTATGTAGCGGTGCATTCAACCAGCCAGAAGCCCCAATCGATCCATTATAGGCATCAATGTATCCAACCAGTCATCATGCCAATCTTCCATTGATCGCAAAATTTTTGCCTTGCATCCAGTAAGCCAGCCGTCTAACCATTTTTTTAGTTATTCATTCATCAAGCGATCCATCCATATAGCTATCCAGTAATCCACCTGTCTAACCATCCATCCATCTACATATCGATACATCCCGCATCCATCCTTGTAGCTATTCATGCATTCCATCAGGCATTCATGCAGCTGTACAGATAGCCCTCTCAGTCTTACAAACAATCCGTCCATCTTACCATGCAGCCAGTCATATACGGCCATCAACCAACCTAGCCTTTCAACGAATCAGTCATCAATTCTTACCTGGGCGCATCAATTTAGCCATACGTGCATCCAACCAGTCAGTCTTCGATCCAGCCATCACTCAGCCATCCATTTCTCTTACCCTACGCCCAACTAGCGTCTTGTTATCATCTAGACAGCGACCCATGCGTCCATCTCCATCAAGCTATCCCTTGTGCCTTCAATCTGCCTTTTTTTAAATCACCCAGCCAGCCAATTGATTGTTGAAATATCCATTGATCCATCCTTACAACCAGCTTAACATCCATTCTGTTTTTCTGTTAGAGATAAACGTTGTCATCTTTCAAGAGCAGCTTTAGCTGTAGAGTTCCTGCTGGTTTTTCTTATGGCTCGTTTATCTTAACTGATATTGAAGTCCAACTACTCCGCGGGACCAAAAGTAGTAGGTAGATAAAAAATTTCAATGAAATTTGTATTCCGCTGTGGTGAACTCTAGAAAATGCGATCATCATACTGCAAGTTCACTTTTCCAGCCAAACTTAAACAAATTTTTGTTTATTTATGGTATCTCTATACTGCTCTACTTCTCTTTGCCGATTTAATAGTGAAAATTTCTGTGGCGATTTTAGTTTGCAATTTTCATCAGTTTTGTTAAAACTCCTTGCTAACTGGTATCTTAATATTAGAGTCTGTCGTAGATTTAAAACAGCAAGTAGGTCTATTAGAGCTCTATTCTGAAGCTTTTTTTTTCAATTTTTTTAAGGTTTAAGGATAGAATTATTTGCTGTGAACTAAAGCTGCAAGATGTATTTGAATTGAAGCTGCAATAAATTGAGTTTGTTTTGTGTGTAATATCAACACCTTCGAAGCCCTTCGTGTTATTGTTGTTGTTGTTCTTAGCCCCGAGAAGGCGCTTCCGAAATGCTCAAACCAAGCCCCGCAACTAGAAAAAAAAGAAACTAGAAAAAGATCTGGAGATGATGCGAGCGTGTTACTGTAGTATGGGAATCTAATTTGAGGATAGTGGGATTGGGTATTAGCGTCATCGAGGACTTAACTGTTTTAATTGGTTAAAATAGATGCTTTAGTCTTTGGGGCAGCTGGAGCGAAGAGAGATGTAGAGGCTTGTGATACGTAGATTTTGTTGCTGACCTTTATTTCTAAGCATTGCGCTTCCAAAATTACGTCTTCTATTGTTTCTAATTACTCGTATAGAAAGGAGTTATGAATGGCAGTGAGGAGGCCTCCTCCCTTCGAGTATGGTCGTTTCTAAAAAATGTATAATTTGGGCCCAGTGAGGGGGTGCGATTTTTCAAGTTAAACTTAGTTTCTTGATAAATCGCGATGTGGTTTTCGTATTCGCCCAGTAAGGCTGTAAGGCTGCAGTTTTGATTGCTTTCACAGAGATGCCATTTCAACTTAATTGCAGTATGTTCAGGGAATTGGTACAGAGGATATGCTTGATTCATGGGGGGGGGGTTCGTTGCAGTAGGGGGTTTGAGTCATGACGCAAATTCGGAGTTTGATTGTTTACAACGGAAGGTGTGATCACTGGGTGGGAATTAGTTGTTAGGGGAGTTTATTACGAGCTGAGGAGTCAGGTTAGTAAAGTTAGTCACAGGAGAGGGCTTTATAGGATTTAGTACAAGATGGGCAGTAGAAATCTCTATTGTGCTCTTTGAGATTTTTAAGAAAGACTGCTAAATAAAAATGGGTCCAACCACATTTCTGGCACCAGACGCTTGCCTGGGTCCTTTAAAATTATTGTTTGCGAGGGGAGCAGGTATATGGACTAGGGTTAGTGTGAATGCCGGCACGGAGGACCAAGGTTAAAATTAAAAGACGGAGTGACCCGACTGACTTTGGAAGCACGAAACTAAAATCTCGAAAGAGCATCTTTTCCGCGCACCCTTGTCTGGAGAGTGACAGGTAGTATCATTTCAGGCTGTATAAACTGCGTGTCGGTGTAACCACTTCTGGACCCTCGAAGCCACTGTTCACGTTCTGTAGTGGCAGCGCGCGTGCATTGGGGATGCAAACGTCAGGGGTTCGAATTTCGGCCAACCCATGTTTTTTTCGATACGTTTTAATTTAGTCGGACTACGATTCGTGCGCTCAACTTCCAAGGAATTTAATTTTTCAGATATATAAATTTTTTAGTATAATTGAAAGTGGATCCGTTACTTCTAAATTTACGGACTACAACTTTCAATAAGTTCCTTTTTTCGATTTTTTTTTGCGTAATTGGTTTCTACTTAGTCACCTAATGTTGTGCCATAAGAGGGGCAATTAATTATGTTCAATAGAAACGGTAAAAATAGTTAATTCTTTTTGTATGTTTTAGGAAGGGTGGGTAATTGACAAGTTTTTTCGACTATCTGTTTTGATCGCATTTTTTACCAAAAAGTTTGGTCTGAACTGTTTCATCAGAATTGTTTTACAGAATAGTTTGGTCAAAGTGCGCGCTCGGTCAGTGATACTAAATGCACGAGACCGAATTTATCAAATACTTGCGATGTTGTTTTTTACACATGCGATTAGCAACCGTTATCAAATCGGAAAATAGACCTTTTCAAATTAACAGCTAGCTTAATAAAGTCACCTAAATCATGTAGGCCAGCAGGATGTGTGGCCAAGCATTGTATTTATTGTAATACAATGTTTCACCATCAGATTATTTTTGAGATGGTCGGTAGTTTAAATAAACCAACTCATTTTTTCCTTATTAGTTTTTTTTTAATTTCTTCGGGTTAAATGGTTTCGGCTGATGTTATATCTGCTCAGTTCCCTCATACGCGCCGTTTGGAGGCCACAATTGTATTTTATTTCTTTCAAACTTATGTGGCTGACTTTTTCATGACGGCTGAACGATCACGACTCAACTTTTGTCTACTTAGCTACTGCTTGATAAAACTTGATTCGATACTAATTTAGCATTGCCAATTGTGGTTCTTGGTATATTTTCCTTAAACTGAAAGGCATGCGTGACAAATGTTGAAAAAATGATATATTCGATGTTTTTTGTCCTATTTGGATTTCGTCCTGTTTTTTTTTTACGGCTAGCTGCCGTGCTATTTTTGTATAATATCGCAAGTATTTTTGACAGTGATTTACCCGTCTTTTTATCTATTGCACAGCTTGCAATGCTTCGACTCTGTTGAGAGGTGCAGCTTAGACTGCAATTTCTAAAACTTTGTTTCAGGTTGGCCCAAAATAAATGTACAAGTATATCATCAGGACGAATACGGTCGCAATGAATTGTACGGATACGGGTTTGTTCATGTGCCAACCTCACCAGGAGTGCATGATGTTGAATGTGTTACATGGAGACCAGTTGGCTCCTTCACGGATCAGCTGGCAGAATACTTCTTAGGAGGCGCATCTCAGTTGCGAAAGACAGATGTAGTTTACACAGGTGCAGATAGATACAATTTGCAAACTGCTGCAATGGGGAAAGTGCACTTCAACCTCGGCATTGTTCTGAGGAATTTCGATAAGTTTGGAGTTGAGTGCTAGGGTTGAAATTGTAAATACGGTGATTTGTAAATTAGATAGACGTTGTGAAATATGTGTAAATAAGTAAATAAAGCCCGTTTCTTCAAATTTTTAGGAAACTTGTTTTAAGCCGAGCGATAAACTTATTTAATCAGGCATCACAAGGTCTCCTGAATAAACACTTCTCAATTGTTGTTTTAAAGATTTGGAATGTGATGTCGATTGAAATATCAGCAGTTGGTTGCAGTTCTTGCAATATCGATTGCTGTCGACAAGAGAATGACCTTCTATACGTTCCTGTTCCCATGTCAGTGGTGCAAGAGGCACTGGAAAAAGCACAAAATGACAAGTTTTCCCTGATAGTCAATATTTCAATGAACCAAGAACCCGGTTCTCCAGAAAATAGTACAAGTCCTGCATTCATAACTGATGTGGGAACGATTGATGAACGGAAGAATAAACTGGTGCGCCAATTAGAGACACGTCGCACGCCAGGAGAACTGAAAGAATTGGGGATTCTGAGATCGTCTTCACAATTCCAATCGGGAGCCATTCTGCGGAAGTCACAAGACCTAGAGCGCGCGAGAGTAGGAAATTTTCTGTCAAAAAAGCTGAAAATGCGACCCAATAAAGAAGATCTGGTCCTACAAAATATTCTCAAAGAAAGTTCAGTCGAACCTTTTGTGAATTTTACCCAGAAAAAGCTTAAAAGAAGAAGGTTGGAAGACCAAATAGACCATTTCATTGCAAATAGACCTTCACCAGGAAGTATTCCTGAAAATATTATGCACAATGCTATGTCACCTACTCTGATGCCGGAACTAGCAGTTAGAGAGCAAGCTTCGATCGATCAACATATGAGCGAATACGATGACGGTGAACTAGGATCGCAAACGGTTCCGTCGCCGCCGCCTCTCCCTGCTACTATTAGCATAGACAACAAAATAAGACGAGCGGTTACGAGCACAGATACGATCATCAAATCGGGAGGTTTTGTGTTCCACGAAACACAAAGCAGTCCACCAGTTCAGAAGACAAACGATGAAATCAGAAATAAACAGCAGGCAGTTCTGGATAAAATTAGACCTGCAAGCATATCTCTTGACGAAGAAGTATCGTCAATCTATCAGAAGATGACAGTGCCTGATTTAAAAGCCCTATGTCGACAAAGAGGGTTCCAAATCCGACAGAAAGCAACAAAAGCGGAACTGATCCGTCTGCTGATGAAGTCAGATAGCAACGGAAAAAGATCAACGGCCAAAAGCACAATGTCGAAACCTTCGGACAGTACGGTCAGCTCTGCTTGTTCAACTCAACCAAAACCAGCTATTAAAACTCTTCCCAAAATTTCCCAAAAAGAAATTGACGATATAATGAGCAGGACACCTTCTGCTCTGTCGATAAATTCTCCAATTGCATCTCCGATGCCTCGTGTGGCCACTCAGCAGCAAAGCTATTTTGCGTCTGCAGAATCTGTGCCGGCCTCAGTTGATAGTCAGAATCAACAGGGTTTTTCCTGGAATTATTCCCGCGACATTAATCTTCTAAAACAACCTAGGAACCCAACATCCAACCTTCAACACTTCGCACAAACACAGTCACAAAGTTTGAATAGGCAAATAGTTTATGTAGACGGAAATTATACGAGATCTACACAAAAAGACAGAGTATTGTCAAATGATTTTCACAGGGTTCGCAGTAATCCTTTGATGTCAAGTTCGACTATGAGCCCTGAACCTATTAATAGTTTTGTATATTCTGATGCTCCTAGCGTTTTCAGTACGACCGGAGTCAATGATCTTTCCTTGCATCCTCCAACTATGGAATCCGAAATGTATGTATCGTCTGAGAGTCAAGAAATGTCTGGCTTTCATAAGCACTTGGAGCGACAGACGATTGAAGAATTTGAAAAATGTATGCAAAGTGTGGCGGCAGAGAGTTGTAGTAGTCCAGCAATATCGATGAATGGGCTAGACGATTTCCTATCATGTAATTCTCCCTTTGGAAGCACCATTGAGTCGTGCAATTATTGATTACGTTAATTAAAGTTCAAGTTAAATTGTCGGCAATATCCTTATCTGTGCGGAATTTGATGGCTTAAAATGGCTCATTCATGTATCAAATTGGGCTTGGCACGTTTAAATGGTTCAAAAAGCATTTAAATTTTTATCTTGAAAACTAGCCTGCTGGTAAAGAACTAGCTAATTCTAATCGGAGATAAAGATTAACAACAATATTGCCAACAATATGGACCATAAATTTACACATTCATTGTAGAAATTCAGTTGTTTAGTTCATTAGGATTTTACCGCAGCTTCGAAAAAAGAATGCCAACGAGAAACTTGTAATTTGTGCTGTAAATAATTTGTCTAATTTATTTTCATTCCAGATGTCCCTAAATTAGATGTTGTCAGTCACTAACTCATTTTAGTGCTTAGATATTTATACCAAATTAAATTAACCAAAAAATTGTTTTGTTTTCTGAGGCACTCATTTTGTCGATTTCGTAAGCTTTTCGGATCTACTTAACAATTAACCCCACCCCACCAAGGCAGGGGGATAATTGTTAAGTAGATTAAATTAAACCAATCAAAACTCGATTTAAAAATAGAACTCTCTTGTGCTTACTGCTTTTTTTTATAGGGGTGGCAATTCTTTTGTAGATACAAAGGGGGGGGGTGGTATTGTTTAGCTGAGCCGGTTATATTTAAGAAGAGCCAGATTCTGGTTTTATTTAAATGGTTTACCTAAACTAAGTTTTTTCGTTTTTTCCTAAGAAGCATATTATCGAAATATACTCAGATAATTTAACGTGGATCCATTTAAAATCCAAAGAAAAACGTGGATAGCCGTAAGGATTATTGCATTGTTCTCCAAAGTTGAAAGTGTAAATGCAATTACTGCTTATTAAGTCAGATCTGACTTGTTCATAAATTCGTGTGTTAATTTATGACAAGCAAATACTTAAATCAGCACAACTTTGTTAGTCATAGTCACTCAATAGTCACTCACTCGACTCTCTGCTGTTAACCGTGAAATCTTTTCAGAAACTGTGAAAGCTTTTCATTTCGCTTCTTGAACAATCATGTCTGCAAAAATCTACGTTGGAAACTTGGACCGAGACACGATCGAGGCCGACTTGCAGGACAACTTTGGCAAATTTGGCCATGTGAAGGAAGTGGTAATGAAGGAGGGCTTCGCGTTTGTGCTCATGGACGACCAGAAGGACGCCGACGATGCCATCAGGAGCCTCAACAATACGTAAGTTTCAGAATCCCAATTGAGGCACGTTAGTTTGGTTGGAAAAAAAATTGAGGCACGTTAGTTTAGTTAGGTTGGAAAAAACCGGCCGCTGCATTTTAATTTAGTTAATTGCTGCGTTTGCTTAAAATTAGTGTGATTTAGGACCCCTCTCTCACATAGGTTTTCACCGGGACCCCTCTCACTTGCACCCACAGAATAAATTAATAGAACAATTTAGACTTAGAAGCTATATGTTCACATAACGGACCCATTTAGTTTCTCGGGACGCTTCTATCGCACTTGAACCAATAATTCTGTCAAGAACAAAGTTAAGTTACATCTCATACAAATGGGACTAGGACAACAAGCCGACGGGACTTCAAGCCGAAGGGACTTCAAGCCGAAAATTAAACTTTTTAAGCACCTCAGATCATAAATTTTTTCTCTATAAATTTTCTCAATAATAAGCGTTATTTATGACAATGAATCACTTGGGATTGGCATCCGTTAATAATATCAGCCGGTTTTTGAAATGCATAAATTATAAACAAGAAAAATACCTTCAACCGTGTTTTATTTTTCAACTTTCCTAAACATCATTTGGAGGCTTAAATTTGATGAAAACGCTAATAAGTACCGAATAAAGATCATGAAATTGAGAAATTCTTCATCAAAAAATTTCAAATTAATCATATTTCATGACTTACAGAGAAAATTTTTGGCTTGAAGTCCCTAATTTTACTATTCGGCTTGAAGTCCCGTCGGCTTGATGTCCGGCACCCCATAAAAATACACAAGTCGGCGTGCCTGGAGTTATTAGCATAAGAGAAGGCTCAAAAGAAAAGCAAAATAAATAACCGAAACGCACTTGCATAACTGTTTGCATGCGTTTTGTGTTAGCTGCAAAGGGTGTGTACCCACTGAGCCGCATTTCCGAAAAGCCGAAAAATTTCATCTGTTACTGACCTGTGTTTGCGCTCATGTGCTCATGGTTTTGAATTTAAAATGCTGTATTTGCTTAAATATAGTGTTTTTTTTTATAAAAAAAATATAGATAAAAAATTGCTTTGAAATATAGTGTTTAAACAAAAAGTCACTTGAAGTGAATACCACGTAAATATCCGGGAACAACTTTCTTTTTTCGGCTAACCGGGAATGCGGCGCTGTGGCACGATCCCATACAGGAGCGGATTAAGGCAACGATGAGACGCTCCTCAGTGATTCTACATTCTACCCCCTCACCTCACCTTTTTTTCAAAAAGTTGCCCGCGGAGCTCGGAAAATCAATTTGGTCAACCAAAAAAAATTGCTTGTCCAAAAATTTTATGAAAATTTGTCCCCTCAAAAAGTCCTAGATCCATACCCCTGGCTTCATACTAAACCTTTGTACAAATTGTAATCAGAACCATCATCCAGGGGCGGATCTAGGATTTTCTCGAGGGGGGGCGGATTTTCAAAAAAAATTTTCCAAAATTTTGACGACCTTTTTTTTTTTTAGGTCGACCAAATTGATTTTTCGAGCTCTCTCAAAGCACTGTTTTGCCCCTATTTAGGCAAAATTTTCTGCGCCGCAGGCAATTTTTTGAAAAAAAACAGTCAAATTTTTGAAAAAACAGTCAAAAAGCCGTTTTTGGGCACTTTTTGAAAAATTTTGACAAAAAAATCGCGTTTTTTTTGGCGCGCGCTCCCCCTCAAAGTTAGTCTATATTGGCGCCCAAGGCGCCGTTAGAAAAATTTTAGGGTCAGTCGGCCAAAAATGGATTTCTGAAAAGTATCAAAGGGGGGACCCTTTGGGTCGGCAGGGGGTCGAATCCCTGAGGGGGGAGGGGGGGGGGGGCGTCCTCTCCCCCCTAAATCCGCCCCTGCCATCATCTATAACTTACTGTTGCAAACGAAAACCGTCTAGAACTTACTGTGGGCGCCTACATATAGGAAAAGAATTTACAATTGCACTGTGAAATAATTGAAAAGCGAATTTTGTGTGTAAAATGAAAATGACGGTCTGTGCATTGACTATTGTGCCTTTTTAATTGCCTTTTTTTCAAATTCTTGGTTTATTTTAGGAAGATTGGTACAACTAGTAACACAAAAGTGGAACACCCGCGAGAACGCAGACCCGGTGGCGACAGGGGTGGTGGTGGTGGCGGCGGCGGCAGGGAGTGCTACACTTGTGGACGACCGGGACATATCGCCAGGGATTGTAGGAGTGGAGGCGGTGGCGGTGGTGGACGAGGCGGTGGAGGTGACAGGTAAATAACACATCGCGAATTGGTGCTACCAATTTTTGAAATAAATCTTTTAATTCGCATGAGCGTATGCAAAAATCAACTGTCCTCATAAATTGATGTTAAGAATGATTTTCAATTGCGATGGTATTCGGGGCTTGGCTATTCCTCTTTTTGATGGAATTAAATATTTGTTCACCGCTTTTTAGAAAAATGTTTCAAAATGTAGAAAATTATAAACTGAACAAATGTTTCAAAAGGGAATAACAACGCGGGAAAAATGTAAAATCTTTTCGTAAAGCATAAAAACAAATTTTTTAGTCTCATCTAGATTGAAAAAAATTGACGAAAATCTGTTCGGTAGTGAGATAGAAAGATCTTTTTTAATTCGGATGATTTAATATGCTATTACCCTTGCGATAAGCAAGGATATTGCAATCGGTTACTTGATTTTTTTTTCACGTGAATAACTTAGTTTTCACGTAAATAACTATGGCTTGCATCTGATAGGACCTTTTTTCAAACGGGAAATAAACTGTTTCAAAAAAAATTGTCGGCTTATTATTGTCGGGGCTTGGCTATTCCTCTTTTTGATGGAATTAAATATTTGTTCACCGCTTTTTCTATTTGTAATTTTATACAAAATGTAGAAGCTTATAAACTGAACAAATGTTTCAAAAGGGAATAACAACGCGGGAAAAATGTAAAATCTTTTCGTAAAGCATAAAAACAAATTTTTTAGTCTCATCTAGATTGAAAAAAAAAATGACGAAAATCTGTTCGGTAGTGAGATAGAAAGATCTTTTTAATTCGGATGATTTAATATGCCATTACCCTTGCGATAAGCAAGGATATTGCAATCGGTTACTTGACTTTTTTTTCACGTAAATAACTTAGTTTTTACGTAAATAACTATGGCTTGCATCTGGTAGGACCTTTTTTCAAACGGGAAATAAACTGTTTCAAAAAAAATTGTCGGCTTAATTCCCATATTGTAGAATTGTCAAATTACAATGGTCAAATGGTGAAAGTGCATGGTTGTTTAATAACGTGGTAACTGTATTAGCTCCATTCAGTCAGGAAGCGGCATTTAGTTGTGCTACGTTAAGAGTTGCAAATTGGTCTTTGTAGGATTTCAACGTTTTTGGCAATTTTTGTCACAGAGCGGTCGGCTTCAATTCTGTCGTCTTTTTCCAATGTTTTTTGTTCGATTAAGCTTCTTTGGTATTATATGGGAGTGATTGAGTTCTTTAAATGAATTTGTTTGAAAATTAATGAAACTTAAAATGAAGTTTTTTTTGAATGTTTTCAATTTTTTTTGTTATTTTTTCTCAGTTGAAGTCACAAAATTGGTTCAAACTTTGTTGTTTTTGTTTGTACGATCGACTGTACTTATAGCATTCTTTTTGGTGCAGATAAAGTAGACCATTAGTTTTTGCACATTTTTTTTCAGTTTTTTGAGTTATTTGATTTTTGAAACTTTTTCTCATTAGATAATGACCCATTATTTTTTCATTCAGCGGTTTTATTTGAAAAACAAAGCCTAAAGTATTTTTTTAAGTTTGTTTTTCAATTAATAAAAGTTTTTTTTTGTTCCGACCATTTGAAAAATGGGGAGGAACTTTGTATTCGGGTGTGTTTTAGATTTTTCTTTTTGTTTTCCACGCAAAAATTCAGGTGCCCCTAATTATCGGAAAGGGTCGAGTGATCCATCATATTAAAGCCCTTGCAATCGTGATTCGAACGACAATTTGTTGCCTTTCGGTAAATGATTTCCATTTTTAAGGGCTGTTTATGAACTGCATCCGATATAAATAATATGAAGTTTTTGTAGCTGTAATTTTTCAACTTTTGTCAAGTGATTTTTTCAAAAATTTTCTCTAATATATTTTTTCAGAATGTTTTTTGATTTCTGTCCTTTTTTTTCATTCACTATTTTGTATCCCAATCTTTTTTTTTTTGCATCGCAAGTCTTGCGAAGCTCCGCTTCGCCTCTGTGTTTCACATTCTTATGCCTTATTCATTTATCTAGTTTTTTCGACATTTCGAATTTTATTTTTAATTTTTCTTGTGTTGCCTCTGTGTATATAAATTGGAAATACTTTTGCCGCTCATTTTAAGATTGAGTAGATTTTAACAAAATCTGAAACATCTTGGGCTATCTTGATTGTCATTCACATGAATTTATGGCTTGTATCATCAATATTCGTTTTTATGTTTTCATTTCCTTGTTAGCCCCGGATGTTTTGGATGCTCAACAGTTCCTGGAACTAATTTCCATGATCTTTTTAGATCACTTCACTCCACTATGGATTGAATGGAGCATATCGCTGCATTGATTCAGCTCTTTATTCCTCGGTTCCTCTTCCGTGTTCCTAGCTTGGGTCCCTGAAGTCCTCTGATAGCCATTGTACCTAGCCCCTGAGTTCTAAGTTCCCTAAAGGTCCAATGACCTCCAAACGAGTTAGCTTTACCATGAGAATGAGAGGTCCTCTCGGTTGGTTTTAACTTATCTGCAACTGGGTGCCATCAAGAGGTTCTAGGACACTTCACTCAATGGACAAGAAAATGACAAACTGTCAACTCATCAATCACAATTCAGTGGGGAGGTTCTCCTATGTCAGAGGATGGATTGTAATGAGAGTTGTCCTTTTAGTGCTAAAAGATGTTTGATGCGTTCGTTCTATCGTAGTCCTTAATAGCTCGGTGGTCCTTGGACCAGGTGAGTCGATCGTACTTAATGTTAATTTAAACATTATTTATATCAATTCACTGGGTCACTGCAAAATTAACCGTAACTAAAATAAAAACTTATTTCAGACGAGGTGGCGGCGGCGGATATGGCGGAAGCCGTGACGGCGGATACGGCGGCGGAGGACGAAGCGGTGGTTCATACGGAGGAGGTCGTGATGGCGGCTATGCCGGTGGACGAAGTGGAGGCAGCGGCGGTGGTGGTTATGGAGGAGGCTCAAGCTACAGATCTCGAAGCCCCGTCTCTGGAGGAGCTGACCGATATTAGCGCTCCAAGGATAGACCAGGTCTGGTCATCGTGGACTGCAAATAACTTCAAACGCCACACTTTTTGTTCCCTGTTTTATATTATCTCGTGTGCATGATTTTAAAAGACCGGCGTCGAAGATATTTCTACTGAGTCTTCTGTGTCTGTTTTCAATTTCTCGTTGATTGACCTGGGTGCAATAGATCTTAATGTCCAATTGAGCGAATGAGTTGATTTAAGGCTAATTTATGATTACATTCTTGTAGTCTGATGATGACAACTTTCCTAATTCTGTTATTTGATGCGATCTGTTATGGTATTTTACCAGTGCTCACATACCTCAAGCATAAGCAGTTGTTTTGTTAAGTTATGTTACTACTCTTACCACACATCGTTTCAAGCAGAATTAATTGAATCTATTTACTCGATAGTTTTTCTAGAAGTATTGATATACTTTTGTCAGCGTTTGCATCAGATCAATTTTGATACTAAGCTATGTACTATTAAGCAAACCAGAATAGCAGAACATTGATTTTTGAAGGCGGAGCGGATTAGAAAAGTTTGTTCTAAATCACATTTTGCGATGGCCGCTGTCACTTTTAGGAGGCGAATGACATTGAGAACTCTCCGACCGAACTCCAACCCTCTTGTTAAGAGACGCGTGCCTCAATGACTCGGCCGCTCCGAGGTTGAATCCCGTAGTCTCCCTTTCTATGAACGGAGCGAAGACTCTGATTTAGGTCTTATTTCTTGTTTTTTTAAGGAAAAGGTCCTAAAATTATTGACGCTCGAATTTATTTTAATTTTCTTTTAAGCTCACTTCAAACGCATTAAAAGGACGGCAAATAACATTTTTCAGTAACACAATGCAAAAAATTTTTTGTCTAATTTCTAAAGTTGATTTTTGTTTTAAGATTTAACAGCGGAATAAAAAATTATCCTATTGCTTCACTTTTCTCAAATTAGGTTAGATCTATCTATGAAGTGTCAGAAATAAAAGATTTTTAAATTTAAAGTGATATGTTCTTATACGTTTTGAAAAATCAAAGATTTCGACTAATCATTGGCACGTGTTCAACTGGTTTTTGGCTGAGTATTTGGAATGTTTTTGTTTTCTTCCAGGTCACTTTTTGTTGTGTTTTCTTGCGCTTTCCTTTCTGCTGATCTTAAGACTTTATTTTAATTTTGTCGGTCTTTTATACGAAAAGCAGCTTCGTCTCAATCTTTTAACTATAATCAAAATCCAGATTTTGAACTTGCAAAACTATTCTCAATCTTTACTTTTCTCTAGAAAATTTCTGCAGGAAGTTTCTCGAAATCTGTTCAATATGCATGATTAGTGTTGATCGTAGAAATTTCAAGAACTTTTATCAGCTTGTACATGGAATATTCCAGTAGTACTAATTTAACATTTGCGATTAACAAGTTTTAATCAAAAAGGAACATCCCGGTAAACACCCAATTTAACAGTATCTGTAACTCTATAGGGAGCCTTAGTTTCCCTTTGTTTGTTTTTCTTCCACGAGGGAATCGCGGATTTTGTTGCGGTGCAATGCTGAACTTATACACCGAAGGCGCGGCTCTGAGAGTCATGAAGAGTGGATACATATAGTATTCGCTGTTTTGAATGAATAGCTGTTTACTCAATGCTATTCAATTTTCTCTTTATTTTTCAAAGCCTTGACTCAAGTTTTTCCTAACAACAATTTTTTTCGGCTTGTCAAGTTTAGGCCTATACTATATCGGCTTATTGGCCTCATATTGCCTCTTTCAAAGTGTGAAAAAAGTTGTTTTGGACTTGAAAGGTTTCGGCCTATATTATATCAGCTTAGTGGCCTCATATTGTTTCGTTTGACGAAAAAAAGTTTTAAGTGTGTGTGTGTGTTTTGAGGGCGAGGGGGATTTATTAACTTTTCAATAGTTTTGATGAAATTTTTTCGGCTTAAATGGTTTCTGACATAGTATTTTCGGCTTTATTACCGCTGATACATTATCTTCCGATGCTACTTTCACATTCTTTTGTCTTGGCATGTTTTTGTTTCATAACTAGTTTTATTCAGTTTGATAGATAAGTTTTTTTTAAAGTTTTTTCGACGTTTTCAATTTTTTTTTAAATTTCATTTTCTTGTTCTGTATCGCAAGTGGTGCGAAGCTAAGCCTCGGCTCTGTTTCAACTTCAAATGAAGCTCGTTTTTATTTTGAGTCGATGAATGAAGTAAAGATCTTAAAGATCTTATATAGGTCGTGGTACTGTTTTGGTTTTTTAAGGAAAAGTTGAATTTTGTTCAGGCTCAAATTTAATTTTGCGGTTTGACTTTTGATTTCTTTTCAAGCTACGATTTCTTTTCAAGCTACTTTTCTTTGTTGAAACATGGACATTGATTTTCTCTAATTGAGATACATTTAAGAAAAAAGTTCCGGTGATTAACGGTATTTGAAAATTTTAATGGTGAAAAAGTTTAATCAATGAAAAAGTTATGAAAAATCTTAATCAATTTTGTTTTCTGTTTTTTTTTCCAACTCCCTTTTGGCTTCGTTTTGAATTATTGGAGCAAATTGGAGGAAACCATCATTAGATTGAATTTTTAAATTTTCAAATTCAGATTGATCAAAGACCAAAATTTCTAGTCAAAGTTATGTTTTTTTTTTGCCAAATTTGTGGTTTTTTGTGTTCGCGGCATTAGTGTCAAAAAGTTCATTCTAAGGATAAGTCAGTTCTGCCTTGATTTGTTTTTATCACATACTACGCAATAGCTATTGGGTGAATTTTTGGTTTAGTTACCTCTTGGTTAAATTACTTTCGATGCTAGTCTTGACGTGTTTTTTTTTTGAAAACTGACTTTTTTCATATTGATTGATCTAGTTTTTTTTCATTAGATTGGCTTTATTCTTCAGTATTAGCGAATTTCTAGCATTGTTGTTTAAGTGGTGAGAAGTTCAGATTCGTGTATAAATTGGTATAGGGTAATAACCATAATTTTTTGGCCATATTTTGAAGTGTACAATGAACATTCTGACCATTTCTTTTTTTCCTGGTTTCGTGTGCATAATTACTGCCCGGTAGTTTTTGTCTAAGTGCTGATTTAAAGCTGACAATCTTGTTTCGCGACAGCTTTTTCGACTAGTTGCCTTTCTATAATTGTGTTGCATCGCAAATAGTGCGAAACTCCGCCTTGCGTCTGTGTTAAGACTTGCATGTTTCTAGACTTGTTGAATACTTTTTGAGTTTTAATACAAAAACAAAGCTTATGATTTGCTATTGGAATGGCGAAGTGAACAATATTTAGTTTGGCCTAATTGTTCTTGGTGAAGCTTGTATTCCCTCATATTTCTCTTGACTTTTCGTTTTGATAATCCGAGACATAAGGAGACGAGGGTGGAGTATCAAAAAATTTTGATTTCAGTTTTCAATGATCGTAGGAAAACTATCTGGAGTTTTTTTATGCAGCGCAAGTTTTTCGACGCTCGGCTTCGCTGGTCTTATATCTAATTTCTGGTAATTTTTAAGCAACGTACGCTGCTGACGTTGACTTGACCTTCCGTGAAGTTGACCTAGTAGCTTTTGCGTAATGTTTGATAAAATAGATGAAGACAAAAAAGACCTATTCTGAGGATGAAATTAAGGGGGCGTTAGACAGTGCCGAAGTTAGAGAGTGCCGAAAAAGGCGGGAAATATTGGAACGCAATTTAAGAGGCTAGCTTTTGGCGGGAAAATTAATAATGACACTTGAAACTTGTTCAGACTCAATTTTGGCGCCAAAATCGATGAGCAAACAAAACTTTCTTTTCTTTTCTCAATTAGTTCACGACAAATAAGTCAGTTTCTTTCATTTTCGGCACTCTTTTCAAATTGTTCAGACTCAATTTTGGCGCCAAAATCGATGAGCAAACAAAACTTTCTTTTCTTTTCTCAATTAGTTCACGACAAATTAGTCAGTTTCTTTCATTTTCGGCACTCTTTAACAAATTTTTGTTTTCGGCACTCTTACTTCGGCACTGTCTTACCCAACCGAAATTAAGATTGAATATCGCAAAACTTGAATATTATAAAATATTAAGGAAATTTATTTTAAATCTTTTTGTGTCTAGTTGATGAAGTTTGAGAAAAAGCTTTCAAAGTTTCAGCTTGTAGTCGTTCAGTCTGGAGCAATATTGTGCTGATGAAATTTTTGAGGATGCTGGTGCTTTTTCAAAACATTTTCAAAATATTTTGTTGACTTTTTTTCCTGATCGATAAAACCTCAAATTGCCATAAAATAAAGCCAAAATTGATTTTTAAATGTATTTTTGAAAAGTTATGACCCGAATATTGCGTTGTGAGTACTTAGTGGGAGTTTTGACCAAAATGGTTTAAAGCGTTTTGGGGTTAGTCTGCCGGAAATGAGATTCGTAGCAAATAGTAATTAAGGGAGGTGTTTTCGAAAAAAAAATTGGGCGACCTGAATTGGAGGGTGGTCACCTCGCCTCGGCACGCTTTTGGTCCGGATAGTTAAACTTAGTAGTGTAGCTCCAAAAAGTTACCGTCAAAAATTACACTTGCGAAGCGAGTGTCCTAGTACGAACCTTTTTTTTCCAACCTAAGTCGCAAATATTGGTGCGGCACCCCAATAATGGTGGGCTACCTTTATAGATTTTTGATAGCATGTGCTTTGACATTCGATTAGTAATAAGTTAACACAGTTGATGCATTTTAAATTCATCAAATAAACCGAAAAAAGTGATTTTTCAAACAATAAAACACTAAAGAAAGCTCGATTTTAGAAATTTTCTAACTCACTATATCTCACAGTTTTTTGAAATGCATAATTTATACATTATGTTGCTTTATGCTTCGCGTTTTGTTCATGCAAAGTTAGTGTGGATACCTTCAGTTTGTTATATTCCAAATTATTACAGGTAAAATTGAGTCTATTTGTGTTTGGTGCCACTTTTGCTGAATTGCATTGGCAAGTTGTTAGCATATATAGCTGCTTTTTTGTGACTAGTGTTTGTCGGTTGTTAAGCTTGCGTGGCTGAGTGGATAGTGCGTGAGACTCAGAATCTCTTGATTGCAGTAGGTCGCAGATTCGAATCCTACACGTAGCCGAGGTTTTGCTAATTAGAAACATTTCTCCTTTTTCTCATTTCACTTGATAGAGCTGCTTTTAGTCGTGTTCTCGCAATTGTTTTCAAAGAGAAGCTTTGCCGCTGTGTAAAACTTTAGCCCAGAAGAAATGACCTCAAAATTATCATCTAAACTCAGCCAACATCAAAAGTCAGCCAACATGAAGCAACCTAGAAATTTTGGACAAAAAATAATAAAAAGATGTTTTTTTTCGGTCTTTCAAGTTTTCTCATATATCTATACTTTTTCAACCAGTTTCGCCGGAACATCCTGTGCTACTCGAACGGGAATTGTTATCTTTGTCTCTTTAGAAATATTTTTAAATTACGTGACAATGTTTTGTCAGTGTGCTGATTATCGCTAGTTTTTTTTCGATCTCGAGTCATTTAGCGTTATCAAATAAATTACAAACATGCAAATTTGACGCGTAGAGCTGTATACTCAATGCTGATCAGTTTTTTTTCGAAAAGGATCAGAGTAAGTTTTTGCTTATGATGCCGAACATTATCTCATACAGCGGTTTTTCTCGGATACTGAGATAAAAAAGATTACCCAGTAGTGCTGTTCAAGTGTAAAAAAACATATATAGTAATTGACGATTTTTTGGCTATTAGAAATTCTTTACAATCGAATGATTTTTTGCGATGTGTTTCGATTTACTCGGCTATTTTTATTGTAAATGAAGGAGTCTTCGATGCTTCTACTACCATTGCGATAAGCATTGGTATTGCAATCGGATGCTAGAATTTTTCCCCGTAAATAACTTTGTTCCCAGAATGGTCAAAATTAGAAATATTAAATTTAGGTTTAGTTCATAATGAATTTTAATTTTTTCAAGTCTTCGGCACACTTGGTCTGAAGGTAACGAATGTGCCTGGGACGGAAAAGGTCCTGGGTTCGAATCTGACAGGACCTGCTTTTTGTTTCAAATGGAAATAGTCCGTTAAAAAAAATAGTCGGCTTGTTATTTTTTACGTTTTTGATAGATAGCGTTATATTCGTTTTCCGTCTCATATAGCGTTATTGAATAACTCTCTAAAAACTATGCAAAATAACGTGTTCTGAGCTATTCGCATTTTTGTCTTCGTGTATGATTTGCCAAGAAATTAATTAGAATTTGTTTGAGATTTTAAGCTTGAAAAGATATGGGGGCACAGCCCGATGAAAGCACCGCATGGTGTTATAACGCATTGTTAGAGGATACGTAGATTTTTCTGATTTTCAGGAGGGAAGATGTCGCGGAAAGTATGGGTCGGAGGAATATTGCGAGATACGACTGGCGAAGATCTCCGAGAGAAGTTTGAAGCACACGGGGGAGTTGAGGAGGTGATTATGAAGGGCAACTACGCATTCGTAATCATGGACAGCGACGAAAGTGCCGCCAAGGCAATCGCTGAACTGAACAACACGTTAGCTCCTGAAACTCAATTTTCTTCACCTACAGTAATCTTCTGCGAATTTCCGAATATCACACTGATTTGCTGGAGAATTAATAAAAGCCAGTTTGCATCATATTTCGGTGTGCTTACTACACTATTCATGAGCACGTTTAAGAAGAACAGCCACAGAAAAAAATTAATTCAATTTTTCCATTTAGCATAAATTGTGTTCTGAGTACGCAAATAATTTCTTTTGGCGTTCAGATTATACTTTTTTTTCAGTGACATGGGAACTAGTCAGAATGTGAAAGTAGAACCTCCTCAGGAACGAAAAGACAACAGGTCAGCTGCTTTTAAGCTTCTTTCTGTTTCTAACCTTTCATTGATCAAATAATAAGCTCTGAATTGTGAATGTGTTAATGAATGAAGTTAAATATTTAGGTCGAGTGGTTTTTCAGCAAATTGTTTTTATCGGCGCTTAAATAAATAGTTGGTTGGCTTAACTGTTTTAGAAATCTTCAAATTTGCGAGAGTAGTGTTTTTGCATCCGAAGTATTTTGTGCAAACTAAGGCAACAAAATTAAAAATGAAAGCGGCGAAGACAAAACAACTAACAACAAAGAAAGTCAAACGGTTTTTTGATGCGTGCTTTTTTTTAAAAAAAAAATATTTATTTTTACCGTAATAATAATAAGTTCCTCCCATCTGCACCCCTGCTGGTCAAGGCCAGGGGCAATGGTTCTGACTTTATCAAATCATAAGAAATAATTCAAACTAAATGAAAGTCACCATCGGGGATCCCGTTCTACCTTTCCGAGGTAGCAGTGGTGGTCATGACGCTACAATCTGCACAATTTTGCCTATTGATTGTACGCACTGTGAAAACGCCAACATGACTTGGCGGCTTGGGCATTGGCCTTGCTTTGACCCACGAGTATCGGTGCTTCACATAACAGTGATTGATCATTGACTTTCTAACCGAGCACCGATAGGAGCAGAGCGGACACTTGAGCACCTCATCACCTGTGCTAGTGTCTTGGTTTGATGCGAAGGATTGCCGACTCAGTTGCGGTGCTCAGACGGTCGGTTCTGATGCGCTGATCAGTTTCACATGCGGGTGACAGTTTTGCATGTGCTTTGTCCAACCGCTGACATAGACACAAGTCTTGTAACAGTCGACAGAGGGCAGTCGAATTTACCCTTTTTGGACCCCCGTCGCTGGGCTGCTGGGGGATCTCTACAGTTCTTTCAATTCCTTTAATAGTTACAGTTCTTTTAGTTCCTTTATTAGTTTCAATTTCACTAGCGAAGGTCTGGACCGAGGGTTCTGAATGATTATCTCTGAGATGCCTGTACATCTCTTTTTTGCTATGAAACATTCTACCACAGTTTTCATTAGCACATTGAACTGTTTGCGACCTTTTGCCGATAGCATTTGCTTTAAAATCTCCACCGTCTGTGAACTTAAGTTTGGTTATCGGATTGTGCAACCAGTTATCCTGGTCACACTTAGTCTTGAGCCCATGGTTGTCATGATCAGCTCTAAGCTGTCGAATCCAAATTTTTGCCAAATTTTAGCACCTTCAAGTAGATCATTCAAGCTATCGACCCCGATGTTTTCAAAGAAAGCATACAGTTGAACCCTTCTCCTGCATAGTTGATGTGCGACTGGCGTTCAATTCCTTTATTTTCATTTCATTTCTGGTTTCTAGCCTGAGACACATTCTGTTAGCGCGGTGTATAACTGCTTCTACTCTACCAAGATCTGTGCATCTGATGACAAGGGTCTCTAAGCCGTATAGCAGGACAGGCTTTAGGAATGTCTCAATGAGGAGACCCTTGTTCCTTAGTGTCAACCTTTTAGACACCAAGGCCGGTCTAAGACGTAACATTGCTATTCTTGTCTTAGAAATGCGAGCGCTGATAGCCTTGTCAGCGCTCCCATCAGATGCTATGATGCTGCCGAGGTACTCAAAGTGATTGAACTGTTCACTGAGTACATTGATAAGAACTATTGTATTGTCATTGGTGTTAATAACAATACTTTTAGTTTTCTCGACAGATTTCTAATTGAGCCAATCCGAAAGTTTTTGGCATCTCATTCAGCGACTTCGTAGCATTTGCCTGGTTGTCAGAGATCAAAGCCAGATCATCAGCGTATGCAAAGTTTCTTTTCTCTCCACTGGTCTTACTTAGGAGGAAGTCAAAATGGATGATAAACAACAGTGGGCCTAAAACGCACCCTTGCCTCACCCCCCGGTTCACTACAAAGGTGTTATCCTTATCAAGCTTGCCGATGGGTATGGCGTGGAGCGCTTCAATCAAACTGATGATATCTCCTGGGATTCCAAAATCTCTTAGGGCGATAAACAGCACTTCCCTATCAATTGAATCAAAAGCCTTCTTCAGGTCGAGGAAAGTCATACAAAGAGGTTGATGGTTCTCAATCCTTCTTTGCAGCAAACATCTGATTGCCAAGATAGCTTGGCCCGTTGATCTGTGGCCTCAGAACCCAAATTGATAAGGTGAGATCTTGGGCAACTGCTTATTCACCCTACTTGCAATCACCTCTGCGAACACTTTGCCAACTTGGTCAAGGAGGAAAATGCTCCGTTAATTGTACGGTTCTGCTCTGCTTCCTTTCTTGAACAGATTGAGTACTACTGCGTCCCTCCAAATTTGAGGAACTTTTCCCGGATCAAGCCAGATATCAGTGAAAATCCTTGTGAGAGGCTTGAGAATTTTCATCTCGAGCAACTTAAGAAGGTCACTGGTGATCTGACTCTCACCGGGAGCCTTGCCCGTGTTGATTTCTCTCAAGGCTTGTAGTACCTCTAATCTTTTAGGAGGTCCACTATCCGCACCTGGAAGTGGCCTTTCAACAAACTTTTCACTCGCCGGTCTGTTCGTAAACAGATTCTCATAATACCTTTGAAACTTCACATTACTGACTTCACCTTTGCTCCTTCTCTCCAACCAACTCGGGCGAACTCTCCTAAGAGTCTCTTTTAACACCTTAAACGCTTCACGCGTTTGTCCGAGGACGTGCTTGTCTTGAAATCCTTCCAGATCACTCTCTAACATCTCACTTTGGGCATACTTCCTTAACTTGTTGCACTTCAAGTATAGCCTTTTTCTTGTTCCAACCAATTCGTCAGTTCTGTTGTTAAGAACCTGACGGTGTACACTTCTCCTTTCTTTAAATACCAAACGTTGTTCAGTATTTAAATACTCAAAGAATGTACCCTCTTTTTCCTCAGGTTCCGGAACCGGTAACCTGGCATGGACATTGCACACCAATTCCTTAAGAGTTCTATTGAAGCTCTCAATGGAGTCAGTGTGGGACAAGCGGTTATCTGATGTTGGGAGCGAGCGATCTTGGGCCGATTTCAGACAGGTATTGATTTTGGTTCGTAGTCCAGGAGACTTCCTTTTTAAGCTTTTTCTAAGAAAGCTTTCACCATCAAACGCCCTTTTGCCTGGTTTTTCGGCGGTAAGACCACGCCTACAAGTTTAGCATGATCTGATTGATGCCCGGTACTACCTCCCCAGCTGGCTCTCATATCTCTTCAGACCGTGTTCCGATCGGACAAAATATAATCGATGACTGCACCTGAGCCTCTGGGGTGGCGCCACATTATAAGCCTACTTAAAGGTTTCGTGAATAACGTGTTCACGATTTTTAAATCGTGTGTCGAACAAAACTCCAGCAATTTTTCACCGTTTGAGGTTGTTTCTTGGTCGGTAGACCAGGCACCAGCTAGTGGTTTCATTTCGGTCAATTGCTCCTTACTGATTCTCGCATTCAAATCACCGAATATCAGAGTATGAGATCCAACTTTACGGCTGGGGATGCCGTCTTTCATTACTCTGAACAGAGCAGCGTAGAAGCAATCAACCCGCTTTTCACCTTTCGCATCATCAGGGTTAGTGGGACTGTAACAAACGACTATTTTAAACGTTCCAAGTCCTTTACAACCTCGGTCCAACCGTGGACGGTGTGCCGTGGGAGGAAGCAGACATGAAGATCAGGAGTTACATTTATCTGTGCCTGAGGACCGAAGCTCAGATGCGAGTAAGTCAATATTACCTTAATCTCAAAATACGCGACACGACTACCAGGGATTTGTGGGGCCGCTTACAAGCAGTGTTTGTAAAACCAAGAAATATAACGTTCGATCGCTATGAAGCCTTCACACGGAAACAAGGAAAAACGCAAACCTTGGAGGAATTTCACTGTAGGCTCACAGAACTCGTAGTTAAGGGAAATTTTAAATGTAAAGCATGCAATGATGGAGTCGAGGCCGAAATCATTCGAGGCTTATTTACTGCAAATATGGCTTATGATTTGCCAAAAAGACCTATTAGCAGAAACCAAATTGCCTGAACAGGCGTTGAATTATGCAGTGAGACGTGAGAAAGGCCTCGAAAATCAAATCCGCATCAGAAAACAGGTAACAACCGGAAACCAGAGCAGATTTACGAACTTAAAATCGGAACCAGTCAACTTCGTACAAAAAAGGGGGCGGGTACAAGTCTCAACCGCAGGGCGGACGTAGCCGAGGAGGAATGACATCAAGGATTAACACCGACAGGCTCTCACAAAATAAAGCTTGCTTCAAATGCGGCAACGCATTATCACCAAACCACCTCGCAGTGCCGGCGTGAGACAAAATCTGCAACAAATGTACAAAAAGGGGCCATTTTGCTAAACTATGCAAGTCCAGCGAAGTAAATGCGATACAGGAGAACGTTTCGACGCAACAAGACCTACAGGAGACAGACATGGCCGCCTACGTCAATTATCTTCATGCAGGTGACATTATCCCGGGTTAAGAACTGATCCATCGGGATGATACATCCACGAATTGGATATAATTTGAGCTCAGACGGGCGGATATAATAACGGACACCGACTATTGACGTTTTGTTGCCGAATATTGACGTTTTGTTGGACAATATAGCACAATCGGCTCCAGAAGGTACAAGTAAGCCGGGAACAACATATTTTTTTACAATAAACCTTCGATACGCGTATAGCCAACTACCACTGGACGACACAACACGAACGCAGTGTTTGGAATCTACCAGTTCCAAACAGGCTTCTACGGGCTCACCGATATGCCCACAGAGTCTTAGAAAGCTATAGATCTGACACTTAACAACGAAAAAGACACGTTCGCGTTTTTAGATGATTTCCTAATCATTTCGCACGGTACAAAGAAAAACACATTGAAAAATTGACAAAAGTTCGAAATAAGTTGGATGTCGAAAATTTGGCCATCTCAGTAGAAAAATCTAAATTTGGCTGCAAAGAGGTAGAGTGGCTGGGATTTGTAATT